CCCACTGCCTCTCCAGTGTGTGGTCGTGCTGAGCCTGTCCTGCTGCTGCTTCAGCCAGGAGCCTGCAGAACTAATGGAAGTTTTCCCCAAATTGTGCCTACTGCTCTTCTTAGCCATGACCAGAAAGTATAAGTAGAGTTTATAAATTCTTTCATCCATTGGTACCAAATGAGTAATACGTCAGGTATGTTGAATAAGCAACCCGAAGTAAGCATTTATGTGTTTTCTATTTCCGATGCCTTAAATAATGCTTTCATTTCCCAATGACTTCTTTGTGTATTACTATTCATATAACAATATCTATACACTTAACATTGAAGAGTATTGACCAAAAAAACACTAGAGTCAGAAAAATCCAAATGTGAATGTAACTCTCCTTGAGCCTCTTATGGCCGTCCATACATCCTTTCACTGCTCTTCCTGTTTTCAGATAAGGGGACTCAAGTGTCTGACTAAAACACACAGATAAGCCTTCTCTCAGGACACAGTTTCCAGCGGGAACCCAAGGAACAGGAGAGAGGCCTATAGCGCCAGGGCTCTGCAGTCAGGGTACATGGCCCACACTGACTCTCATAGGGCGTGCACGTGACCTACAGGGACTGTGGCCAGCTAGGCTCCCCCAGCTGGAGGAGAAGCTCCCCAAAGGCAAGAGCTTTTGTTTTTCCATCTTGCATTACCCTGCAGGGACTAGTCTTCCGCTGGCTACAGAGAGAACATCACTCTTCGGTATGGCCAAAGGTGCCATTGACACCGACCTCAGCACTAACTTGGGAAGACCTTGCTCTGGCCACCAAAAGTTTCCTTTTCCCCGCTTTGCTTTTTTTTTTTTTTTTTTTCATTTTTTCCTGTAATAGTAGTAACTGAAGAAAGGAAAAGAATAAAGCTTTTACACAGTCTAGAAATTGTAAAAATGCTACGAGACTCTTTCATCGAAATCCTACAAGACACGTGTCTGCTGCCTGTCCGTGGCCACTGCCTTGTAGATACGTATCTATGCGAAATGTCAGTGCATCTGATGCAGCCTCCCTTTGGATGGCCTTGGTGATGAGGTGTCATGATGGTCACTTCACAATCAGGAGCTGAGTTCATTCACTGAGAGCATGCCATTGACCGACGAAAGACTGGGATACGCACGTCCCAATTCTGACCAAAGCGGCATCTAGAAAGAGAAAGCATCCAGGTTAGGACTGTCTAAAGGGGGTTAGATAGAAAATGAGGATGCGTGTGCTTAAACATACTACCTACATAATCGAAAACAACTTCAGGGGGCTTCCCTGGTAGTGCAAGTGGTTGGGAGTCCGCCTGCCGATGCAGGGGACACGGGTTCGTGCCCCGGTCTGGGAAGATCCCACATGCCGCGGAGCGGCTGGGCCCGTGAACCACGGCCTCTGAGGCTGTGCGTCCGGAGCCTGTGCTCCGCAACGGGAGAGGCCACAGCAGTGAGAGGCCCGCGTACCGCAAAAAAAAAAAAGCAACAACGACAAAAAACAACTTCAACATTCAGAATAATAAGTCTACTTAAAATAATCCCTAACCAAGAAGGACTTTCAAACAGTAGTTGCCCACCTCCTGCACACAAGGACCTCTAAGAAGAGAAACCAAATCCCTTGTCCTAGTCTATTTGCATATTATCCCTTTCGAAATGCAAAGTCTGGTTTAAGCCGTTGTCATACTCCTATTTGTTTGGTTATAAATAAAACATATCTTTTCCATCATCAATGTATCTTTCCAGCTGCTGGACATAAAATAGACTGCTAGCTTCCTGAATTGAAATGTCACCTTCCTAATCAGAATTGACAATCGTACATAACCATCTGGGTTGTTTTTTTTTTAAGCATCCTATTCTCACAAGTATGTTTTCCAACAGTGTCATATGTATCTTAAATGGTGAGCTCAAGCTAATTACCTCAAGCGCAGATTCTAAAAGACCCTGACAATATACCAGTTTTGAAATGGAGACCACACCGCTCACCTGCCTCTCAACGTGGCTTGACACTAAACTCTGCCTGGTCATCACTTCAGCACCCAAAAGAAGGGATGTGCGCCTTTGTTGGGCTTTTCTCCTACCCCAGTGATACACATTCTGCAACCACAAAATATTCCAACTCCAACTCCCTGTTTGAACAAGCAACTGTTATTCTGTTCTGTTCTTTTTATCATTTGCTTTGTACACTGTTGGGAAACAAAAAAGCTACATAGTTTACTTACTCCTACAGTTAAATATTTTTTAAAAAGTAAGAATAGGTTATTATTGAAATAAAGTGTTGCTTGTCATTATAGCATTCTGGAAGGCAGTGGGGATAACAGGGTGTGTTAAGCTTTCCATTGTGTGCAGACTTTCCACCCCCCTCTGCCCCCATCAGGAAAATAAGTCTGTCCCGTGATCTATTCAGTTCTTGACCTTTTGACTAATATGCCAACAAAAGGCACCATTTATTAGTGATTAATTTACGTATCTTTGTCCATCAGGAACTGGATCCAGGCTGTCACAACTGGGCACCATCACCAGTTAGATTTTCCATGTGCCCCCGGGGTGTTTGCGCCATGGGCTCGGCTGGCTATGCAAACCTGGGTCCTGCAGGCTCCTCCCTAAGTGCAGCCCTTTCGTGGGCAGGAGGAATTTATCAGGAATGTCCTCTGGAGGGAAGAAGCCCTCAGAGGCCAGCCAGACCCTCTCACTGTACCTTCTTCACGGTCCCGATCGGAATCCTGGGAGCTGACTTTGTTCCCCACACGTACCTTCCTTACGGGTCTCCCTTGTCACACACGCTATCTGTCCCTGTCCCTGATGCACCTGTTTTGGACTGTGTTGCTTTGGCCCTCCCCTCTTTTGGACCTTCTTCCTTAGCATCTTTTCTTTACACCTGTAACACGCCTGACCGACCCTCCCACACACACACGTATACACACACACACACACACACACAAGCGCACACACACACACAAGCTTCCTCCCCCTTCTCTCTTAATTTGACCCAAGACCTTCTCCTGTTGGAAAGCCCTCCACGTGGATGGATACCTCGTTGGTATCACCTGGTGGGTGACCCCAACTGCACTGATTCTCTTCTCAGACCTCCCTGTAAATCTTTAAAAAACAAACAAACAAACAAACAAACCTATTTCATTTGTGTGTATTTGTCTCTCTATATATATTTTTAAGTTTACCTTTAGCTCAAAAACAACAGGGCAAGAACGCTTTTGGTCAAGCATCTTATCTCTTATTTGTCCTGTACAAGTATCGTGTATGAATATTTTAGATGATCAGCTACTCTGTAAATCAAGCTTTGACTTCAATCCAGCTTTCCCGAAAGGCTTCCACCACGAGAAAGGAAAAGTCCACCTAATTACAATGGCTTTGCATTGTAAGTTCATTGGTTATGAAAAATTGATATGCACTGTAGCTGTGCAACTTGTAGCCTTTCTCTTTCTGAAAATCAGTAATATTTCTGCCTGTCTTCACCCCCCACCAAAAGAAACCAGTCAGGAAAGCCATGTCTTTTCTCTGTGGTACACGGAAGACAGTGATATTTCTTTAACAAGTTTCTGGGAAAATCAAGCACAAACCCTGCTTATCTATGCTGTGTGCCATTGTAATTGTTACCTTTATTCATGGTCTGAACCATTACTCCATCTTTTTTAAAATGTTCAGAACAACTGGGGAAAAAAACTTTGAAATATCGTTGTTCCCTTTATTATTTTCACATTGAAGCAAGATAAGCATTTGGAGCTACATTGAAATCTGAATAAAATAAACACTTTCATCTGGTAAAGTGCACGGTTTCAAGTTGCAGCTGTTCGCCCTGCAGCATCCCATGGCCTGAGCCTTCAGGCCGTTTATCCTGAGGCCTCCGGGGCCTCTCAGCCCACCCTGTGGCCCTTTCCTTTCATCACAGGTCAGGTGGGGGTAATGCCAGCAGAGGCACAGATGTGACACGCTTACTGGGAGAATAAACAGTGTTGAAACCCTTAGAAGTCTGGGCGGGAAATGCAACTTACATGCATGTAATGACTATTATTCGAGAAAATTGTGGAGTTTTTATACTCTGGATTGAAGTAGAGGGTTTCCCATTTGGGGCTGACCCCATGCACTTGGGTAACCTCACAGGTGGAGCGGAATCAGATACTTCTCATCCAAATGGTTTGAGACCGGGCTGTGTATGGTGAAGCACGTCAGACCCAGGTTCCCCCCCACCCCGAGGCCATCGAAGGCCACGCCTAGGACCCCCTTCCCTCAGAGTCTGAGAGGCAGCTGAGTGGTCACTCAGGGCTCTGGGAGACGAGGCCTCGGTCGGGTCCTCCCGGTGCCCCCCTGGGTGGCCCGCCTGCCTGGACTTAGACTCCAAAACCAGCAGTGGCACCAATCTCTATGCTTCCATAACGGATGGCTGGCATCCACGCATTCAGGGAGGCGCCAGGACCAGTCCCGGCAGGAGAGGCTGTTTCCTCCTCCCCACCTGCATCCGGAGTGATGGGGGTGCCGTCAGAGGGCTGCACACCTGGCTTAGTGATACCTGGAGGAGTGGGGCTCACCCCACGTACAGAAGCCGCAGACATGGGCACGGGCTAAGCTCCTCACTCCAAAGTTTGTCCATTTGAAATCACATAGAGCCAGCAACCTAACCTGGTGATGGACGGTTCCCTCTAAACATGCCATCTTGGGATTTTGAAGAAGTCAAGGTCCAAGAGAACACTGTCGATGTAATTACCAGATTTAGGAAAGAGATTTCCCTGACTTGTTAACTGTTGTGTAACCATGATCACCTCACTTTCATTTACTCTCTGATTTCTTTAGTTTAGATGAATTTTCATCAGCTCCATTCTAGGACTTTGTACTTTTGTATATCTGTCACCACTCCTAAAACTCTACAGGATCGTGTAATAATGTTAATTGCTTGCGTCTCATGACAAGCATTCAGAGAAAAATGCCTAGATGAGTGTACAGGACTCTTCGGGAAAATGCGGAGAAATAACGGGCCTCTTTGTGTGTTTGCATGACCCAGTAAACTCCGGGGACGGCATCGACTACAGCCAGCAGAAGCGGGAGAACATCGGTGACCTGATCCAGGAGACGCTGGAGGCCTTCGAGCGCTCCGGAGGAGAAGACGCCTTCATCAACATCAAGTACATGGTCCCTACCTATGAGTCGTGCTTGCTGAATTAGCGGTGGAAACAGCTGGGATTCGAGGAAGGCTTCTCCTAGCCTTTTGATCATCTGTCTCTGCTGCTGTTAGCATCTCATTATCTGTGACTTCTACGGCTCACTTTTCTACAGCTGCTAAAAGAGTGGCTCATGGGCCGTTGGACTTGTAGCCCTATTGAGAGTAAGGCTTTCCAATACACAAATAGTGCCTGTTTCTTAGATTACAATAGTGTACTGTGCTTATTTGTTCTAGGAGAAGAATTGCTTCTTTATACAGTTAGGAAAGAAGCAGGAGTCCGAGTTAAACCTTCAGTTGTATAGACAATAAAACTACAATTTTCATACGCAATTCAGCAGTTGTGTCTGCCTGCCCCGAGGGTGGTTGTCAAAGGTTGGAAGGGAAGCGTTGGTGCTGACTGCTTAACAGGTGTTGGTCGTGGACGACAAGCACCCGTTCAGCAGCAGCTGTGCAGAACAGTGTGCTTTGACATCCAACAAAACTGTGGAGTCGATATGCCCATTACAGGAGGACAGTTTTGCCGCCCGTTATGAACCTCAGCTATAAAAATAATAGATGCTCCTAGCCCATTGGTGATCTGGGTTTGCAGGGGCTTTCCAGCTTATATTGGGAGGAGACAGGGAGGGAGGGAAGGGGAAGGTTAGGTGTGAAATGCAACATGGTAAACGTGGTTGTTTTAAAAAAAAAAAAAGCTAGTTTGCATCTTTGTGCCTCTGTATTATGACATCCTGCATCTCAGGACCCCGGTGTTACTGACAAAATGTTATCCAGCGGTTTTGTTTAGGGCTTTCGATCATTTTTGAAAATGACTTATAAGCATCTTAATGATCGCCCCTTGAAACAAATCCTATTCTTTTCTTGGCGATTCTCCTTTCCTTGGCCTCCTCCCACGGGTGTGTTGGATGGATTCTCACTGCACCTCTAGGTGGGTCTGATGGCACTGTTTTGGAATTTTATTGAAACCAAAAAAAAAAAAAAAGACAAAAGACATGCACTTTTTCATTCAACTGGGAAAGAAAAAAGGTGTCCGAAGAGAAGAGCAAGCGTAAGGTGCCAGCCCTGACAAGGGCGCTGAAGGTCTGTGGGGCGGTGAGCTCGGGGCATTTGAAACTCAGCCCGGAAAGCTTCAGAACGATGGACCCCTGGCTCTGCACACCTGAGAAATGCTGTAACTTCCCAGAATGCATAGCCTGAAGTGTCTCATTCTGTAGCAAAGGGCAGCTTCTGCACAAAAGTGAAGAAATGAAATGTGTTCCCCTGGGAAACGGACCCTTTGCCTCGAGATTGCTGTCACTAATTATTTAAGACACAAGTTTCCAAAGGCAAACACCGAGTTTGAAAACTGGTTCATTATTCATCTTCCCTGATGACGGGCTCAGGATATGAAACCTAGCATCCAGGACCTACCTCCTAGTTTCTGGAAGCAGTTTTTAGGATAAACGGAGATGTGTGACCGGGTAAGAAAAATTGGCTTTCGTGTATAATACTTTGAAAAGACAGAGCTAGAAGCAGACACGGACAGGTTAAGACAGGTTTTTTTCTCCAAACTATGATGTTCAATTGTGCCCATGAGCTGCCGTCCTGGCATCAGTGATGTGTTCGAAGTGACCCCAAAGTCCACGATACTATTTGTTAGAAAGACGCTGGCTCTTAGTACCTTTGAATGCTCCTACCAGGATTTCCTCCATGCCTCTGTTGGGACTCAGAAGCAAGCCTGGCCTCTTACTCTCTGTCTTGCTTGTGAAAACCATCTGGTGTGGTAACAAGGAGACCCACCTGCCACTGAGCCAAGAGCCCTAACCCTGGCGTGGAATTCAAATATTGGGGTTCCTTTCCCAGCCCTGTCACTTACTAGCTGTCCTGCCTTTGGGCAAGTTATTTAACCTCTCTGAGCCTCTGGTTTCCTCAGCTGTAAAGTGGATATTACTCTACCCTGTAGGAATGTTCTAAGGACTAGAGGTGATTTTTGTGAAGTACTTAGCATAGTTTCTTATACCTGTTGGCCTTTTACTTCAAAGAAACAACGTTTGAATAATGACTAATTTCTACCCCAGCAAAGCAATATATATGTGGAAAACCTCAGACAACATGATGCTTCCTACCTGGCAATGGTGAGTTCTTCGTAATAAGAAAATAATTTTGCCGAAAACCGAAATAACTATAAAGATTGCACAATGTTCTCTGGAGATTTTTTTTTTAATGCATTGTTTTATTAGTATAGAAATAGGAGTGACTGCTTTTTCTGACTGTCACCTCTGCCCCATGTTTAACCAAAGGAGGTGATTTCCCTGTTCCTAGGGACACACAGAAAACAGAGAAAAAGTTACCCGGAGCAGGAGAGTGGATGGTGGTGAAGGGGTAGCGGGTCCCAGCCACGCAGGGAAGTTTTCCCTCCCCTCAGTGGTCGGCACAGGTCAGCGGGTGGGTGAAGGCGTCTCATACAATGGGAGCTGGTGGCAGAGCTCAGAGCTCGGGAAATCCCTGAGCAAATGCCCTCGATGGTGGAGAGTCATCACCAGACTGCAAAACAGAGGGATCACGGAAAAAGCCAATCAGGAAAAGGAAATCAAACACAGCCGAAGAAGAAATGTTCACGAGTGAAGATATCGAGGAGGCATATAATGGGAACTTCAAAAGTGTGCAAAAATGTAAAAGACTGTGAAAAGTAGGAAGCTGAAAGCCCCCAGCAGCTTCTCAAGTGGGGAGACAGTCTATCTGTTGAAGAAAAACAATTGCCTAGAACACTGTACCTCCTGAGGATTCAGAAGACGGTGAGCTGAAAGAGGAAGCTGAAGGTGAAACGTGCGAGGTAGAATGCGCCTCTCGGAGGAAGTTAGCCCACGGGGCCCGCTGACACCTTCCAAAGGGAGGTTTTCTTGAGAGGCTAGCAGGATAATCAGGCTGCCCCCTGAGAGCTCTCGCCCTCCCCAGCCTATTGTCTGGCCCATCAGAATTTAAGCACAAGTCAAAGCATGGTGAATATGAGAGCGTCCCTTTGGTTTACAAGGTAGAGGGCAGATGGCTCTGAGGTCACTTACGGCAGGTCCCGAGGGTAACCTGGCCAAGCAGGAGGGACTGGCGTCCAAGAGAGCCTCTCACAAACATTGGAATATAACTGTGAGAGATGGAAAACCAAGGTACCTTACAAAGTAACAGGTAAACACAGATTTGAGCAGATGCTGCAAAGTTTAGATAATACCCAGCAGATGTAGAGGAAACGAAGTATTGAGTTCCAGCTACAAATAAGAGCTAAATATTGCATCGCCATGATAGGTTAGAACATGTGATCTCTCTCTTGATTTGAACTAATAAAGCTATTATGCCAACAAACAGGTCAAGAAAATGTGACGTAGTAAAGACTTTGGAATTGTAAGTTGTAAGACAGTAAATAAACTGAATTGCATTTTTAAAAAGGTCTTCCCCTTTCGCAATTTAACCAAGGAGGTGAAATACTTGTCTATTGAAAACTACAAGATATTAATAAAAGAAATTGAGGAAGACACAAAAATATTTGGAAAGATATTTCATGTTCATGGATCGGAAGAACCAATATTGTTAACATATCCACACTACCCAAAGCAATCCCTCCCAAAATTCCAGCGGCATTTTCCATAGAAATAGGAAAATAATCCTCAAATTTGTATGGAACCACAGAAGACCCCAAATAGCCAGAGCAGTCTTGAGAAAGAAGAACAAAGCTGGAGGCATCATGCTCCCTGATTTCAAACTATATTGCAAAGCTATAGTAATTAATACAGTATGCTTGGCAGAAAAAACAGACACATAGCTCAGCAGAAGAGAATAGAGAGCCCAGAAATAAACCCACACACATATTTTATATATATATATATATTCGTACATATACACAAATATAAATGTGTGTGTGTATATATATATATATATATATATATACACACACAAAATTCAGCCATAAGAAATAATGAAATCCTGCCATTTGTGACAACGTGCATGGACCTCAAGGACACTGTGCTCAGTGAAAGAAGTCAGACAGAGAAAGACAAATACCACATGATCTCTCTTGCATGTGGAATCTAAAAACCAGAAAAACAAACAAACAAGAAGAAAAACCAAGCTCATAGATACAAAGAGCCAGAGTTGGGGCGTGGGGTGGGAGAAATGGGTAAAGGGGGTCAAAAGGTAAAAAGACAAACAAAAGGTCAACTATCGCTACTATCACCACACTGCTACACCACCACCATCACTAAACCCTGCCAGCACCACTATGGAGGCCTTTGGGACTGGTTTAATATCTACAATAACAATTATGAGACTTTTAAAACTACATTGTTTTACCAGCATGAAAATAGGAATGGCCTGCTTTTTCTAACTGTCATCTCTACCCTGGGTTTGTCTTTACTTCTCCCAAATAATTTCTGATTAACTAAAAGAGAAAGGAGAATCTTCCCAGGTTTCGGAACTCTGAGTGAGACACTGGCTTCTTTCACCTGCTACATATTTACCTTGAAACTCCCTTCCTAAGGTATCCAAGGGAACGCAACGATGCCAAGTGGGAAACATCAAGCACTGGTGTAGGAAGCAAGGGTTTTCGTCTGTCTGTCTGTCTGTCTATCACTGTGTTCAATTTCTTGAAGACACCGTCCAGGGGGCGAGTTAGCCCAGGGAAGAAATAGAGGCTCTGGATGTGAGGGTGGATCACAGGAGGGTCCGGGTCGGAGCACTGAGCCTGTTACTCGAGAGCTTCCTCGAAGGAACAGTCCCTGCTTCCCAGGGTGGCTGCAAGGACCGCGTGACGGATGTTGGAGGACACAGCAGCTGGAGTGCAGGAGTGGGAAGCTGGCAGAACTGGGGTGAAGTCTCCTTCCACTGAGCGGTGGCCTTGTGAGCTCGGGCAAGTTATCAAAACTCTCTCAGCCTCAAATCCCGCATCGCAAAAACGGGCTCAGGAATGTGGGCCTTGCAGGTTTGCTGCAAGCATCGCACGACAAATGCCTGTGAGTAGAGGGCTCAGCAGGGAGCCTTGCGGGACAGATGGGAGCCTGGGAGGGGTCCCCTGGGCGAACAACTAGCCTGGCGCCTGGAGCAGTGGAAGTGCTTGATCCATGTGGGCTGCAAGGGCAGGCCTAGTCCTGTGGGTCCTGCTTATCCCACTGGACCTGATGAGAAAGATATGAGTTCTCACAAGCCCAACTGTGCCCCTGGAAGTCGCCTCGGTGGGCACACCCTCATCTTCGAGAGAGGCCTCTCCCCTCCGCCCCCTGGTACTGCAAGAGCAGCACATAATTTTTATGGCCGAACTACATCTGGAAACATCAGACAGGATACAAAGTTCGAAAATTCCGTGAAAAGGTGGCATACTTGGAGAATATGATCTTCCAACCTGAAGCTTTTTTACACAAACAAGACTTAAGTCCTTTCAGGGTTTACTTACATGCGATCTAGAAGTGAGAGACGTTTGGTACAGGTGGTGGGACATCTAGAACAGTCATTTAGAGAGGCTGAAACAAAGTAA